GGTGAGAGGATCCCTCTTGTCCTTTGCTGAACGGAGCATTGGTTGGATTTTCTTGGTGGGTCTGTAGATAGTTTGTATGTTGTGTTTCCTCCTCAGCTTCTCTCTGTGGTCAGTGGTTCCCTTGATGTATGGCAAGAACCCTTTTTCTCTGGGTGGGTCTTCGTCTTGACTCTCGTGGCTTCTTCTCGGTGGTCTTGCAGCTCTTCTGATGTCTGAGGTGGAGTCTCCATTGGCCTGGAGAGCCCAGTTGAGGTGGTTCAGTTCATCTTGGAGGAGGTGGGGTTCGCAGATTCTTTTTGCACGGTCTGCCAAGGCTTTAATGGTGCTTCTTTTTTGACTTGGGTGATGGTTGGAGTTTTTCTGCAGATATCTATCTGTGTGTGTGGGTTTTCTGTAGACGGTGTGACCCAATTGTTGATCTGGTTTGCGGATGACTAGGACATCTAGAAAAGCAGTCTTCCTTCCTTTTCTTTTTCCATGGTGAACTGGATGTTTGGGTGGATGCTGTTGAGATGGTCCAGGAACCTGTTGAGTTCTTCTTCTCCATGGCTCCAAATGGTGAAGGTGTCATCCACATATCTGAACCACATCGTGGGCTTTTTTCTTGCTGTTTCCAGGGCTTGTTTTTCAAAGTGTTCCATGTAGAAATGAGCTATGACCGGGCTGAGAGGGCTCCCCATCGCTACTCCATCTTTCTGTTCGTAGAATTCATTGTCCCACTGAAAGTAACTGGTGGTAAGGCCATGGTGAAACAGAGCCGTGATGTCTTCTGGGAACCTCTGGTTGATGAGTGCCATGGTGTCTGCTACCGCGACCATGGTAAATAGAGATACCACATCGAAGTTGATCAGTTTGTTGTTGGTCTTTAGCTTGAGATTGTTGATTTTTTCAATGAAGTGGGCTGAGTCCTTGATGTAGTGTGTAGTGAGCCCGATATGGCTTTGTAACTGTGCAGCAAGGAATTTTGCTAGGTCGTATGTGGGGGATCCAATGGCACTCACGAGGAAGAACTTCCTGACTGTGAGAGTTGTTCAGCAGTGGAACTCTCTGCCCCGGGGGGAGTGTGGTGGAGGCTCCTTCTTTGGAAGCTTTTAAACAGAGGCTGGATGGCCATCTGTCAGGGGTGATTTGAATGCAATATTCCTGCTTCTTGGCAGAATGGGGTTGGGCTGGATGATGGCCCATGAGGTCTCTTCCAACTCTTTGATTCTATGATTCTAAGGCCAAGAGAACACACTGGGGAGGCCTGTGGGGGGGGGGGGGACTGACCCACTGGGGTGGGAGTTGTAGTTCACCCTGCACGCAGAGAGCATTCTGAACCCCACCAATGACGGATCTGGATCAAGCTTGGCACACAGAACCCCCAAGGCCAACAGAACACACTGGAGAGGCCTGTGGGGGAACTGGCCTACTGGGGTGGGAGTTGTAGTTCACCCTGCACGCAGAGAGCATTCTGAATCCCACCAATGGCGGATCTGGATCAAACTTGGCACACAGAACACCCAAGGCCAACAGAACATACTGGAGAGGCCTGTGTGGGAACTGACCCATTGGGGTGGGAGTTGTAGTTCACCCTGCATGCAGAGAGCATTCTGAACCCCACCAATGGCGGATCTGGATCAAGCTTGGCACACAGAACCCCCAAGGCCAACAGAACACACTGGAGAGGCCTGTGGGGGGACTGACCCACTGGGGTGGGAGTTGTAGTTCACCCTGCACGCAGAGAGCATTCTGAACCCCACCAATGGCGGATCTGGATCAAGCTTGGCACACAGAACCCCCAAGGCCAACAGAACACACTGGAGAGGCCTGTGGGGGAACTGCCCACTGGGGTGGGAGTTGTAGTTCACCCTGCACGCAGAGAGCATTCTGAACCCCACCAATGGCGGATCTGGATCAAGCTTGGCACACAGAACCCCCAAGGCCAACAGAACACACTGGAGAGGCCTGTGGGGGGACTGACCCACTGGGGTGGGAGTTGTAGTTCACCCTGCACGCAGAGAGCATTCTGAACCCCACCAATGGCGGATCTGGATCAAGCTTGGCACACAGAACCCCCAAGGCCAAGAGAACACACTGGAGAGGCCTGTGGGGGGACTGACCCACTGGAGTGGGAGTTGTAGTTCACCCTGCATGCAGAGAGCATTCTGAAACCCCACCAATGGCGGATCTGGATCAAGCTTGGCACACAGAACCCCCAAGGCCAACAGAACACACTGGAGAGGCCTGTGGGGGGACTGACCCACTGGGGTGGGAGTTGTAGTTCACCCTGCACGCAGAGAGCATTCTGAACCCCACCAATGGCGGATCTGGATCAAGCTTGGCACACAGAACCCCCAAGGCCAACAGAACACACTGGAGAGGCCTGTGGGGGGACTGACCCACTGGAGTGGGAGTTGTAGTTCACCCTGCACGCAGAGAGCATTCTGAATCCCACCAATGGCGGATCTGGATCAAGCTTGGCACACAGAACCCCCAAGGCCAACAGAACACACTGGAGAGGCCTGTGGGGGGACTGACCCACTGGGGTGGGAGTTGTAGTTCACCCTGCACGCAGAGAGCATTCTGATCCTCACCAATGACGGATCTGGATCAAGCTCGGCACATAGAACCCCCATGGCCTTCTGGCAAGGAAACTAGTCCAATGTGGGCTAGGCAAAACTGCGGTGAGGTGGATCTGGAATTGGTTAAATGGACGAACCTAGAGGGTGCTCACCAATGCTTCCTCTTCATCCTGGAAATAAGTGACGAGTGTCCTGGGCCCGGTCCTGTTCAACATCTTTATTAATGACTTAAATGAAGGGCTAGAAGGCATGATCATCAAGTTTGCAGACGACACCAAATTGGGAGGGATAGCCAATACTCCAGAGCACAGGAGCAGGATTCAAAACGATCTTGACAGACTAGAGAGATGATGGGCCAAAACTAACAAAATGAAGTTCAACAGTGACAAATGCAAGAGACTCCACTTTGTCAGAAAAATGAAATGCAAAGATACAGAATGGGGGATGCCTGGCTCGAGAGCAGTACGTGTGAAAAAGATCTTGGAGTCCTCGTGGACAACAAGTTAAACATGAGCCAACAATGTGATGTGGCGGCAAAAAAAGCCAATGGGATGTTGGCCTGCATCAAGAGGAGCATTGTCTAGATCTAGGGAAGTCATGCTCCCCATGCTCTATTCCGCTTTGGTTAGACCACTTACCTGGAATATTGTGTCCAATTCTGGGCACCACAATTCAAGAGAGATATTGACAAGCTGGAATGTGTCCAGAGGAGGGACTAAAATGATCAAGAGTCTGGAGAACAAGCCCTATGAGGAGCGGCTTAAGGAGCTGGGCATGTTTAGCCTGAAGAAGAGAAGGCTGAGAGGGGATATGATAGCCATGTATAAATATGTGAGAGGAAGCCACAGGGGGGAGGGAGCAAGCTTGTTTTCTGCTTCCTGGAGACTAGGACGCAATGGAACAATGGCTTCAAACTACAAGAGAGGAGATTCCATCTGAACATGAGGAAGAACTTCCTGACTGTGAGAGCCGTTCAGCAGTGGAACTCTCTGCCCCGGAGTGTGGTGGAGGCTCCTTCTTTGGAAGCTTTGAAACAGAGGCTGGATGGCCATCTGTCAGGGGTGATTTGAATGCAATATTCCTGCTTCTTGGCAGAATGGGGTTGGACTGGATGGCCCAGGAGGTCTCTTCCAACTCTCTGATTCTAGGATTCTATGAGAGGCCTATGGGGAGACTGACCCACTGGGGTGGGAGTTGTAGTTCACCCTGCATTCAAAAACCACTATATATATATATATATATATATCCAAAAGCACTATCTATCTATCTATCTATCTATCTATCTACATACATATACATCTGAGGGAGGCCTATGGGGAGACTGACCCACTGGGGTGGGAGTTGTAGTTCACCCTGCATTCAAAAACCACTATATATATATATATATATATATCCAAAAGCACTATCTATCTATCTATCTATCTATCTATCTACATACATATACATCTGAGAGGCCTATGGGGAGACTGACCCACTGGGGTGGGAGTTGTAGTTCACCCTGCATTCAAAAACCACTATATATATATATATATATATATATCCAAAAGCACTATCTATCTATCTATCTATCTATCTATCTACATACATATACATCTGAGGGGCCTATGGGGAGACTGACCCACTGGGGTGGGAGTTGTAGTTCACCCTGCATTCAAAAACCACTATATATATATATATATCCAAAAGCACTATCTATCTATCTATCTATCTATCTACATACATATACATCTGAGAGGCCTATGGGGAGACTGACCCACTGGGGTGGGAGTTGTAGTTCACCCTGCATTCAAAAACCACTATATATATATATATATATATATATCCAAAAGCACTATCTATCTATCTATCTATCTATCTATCTACATACATATACATCTGAGAGGCCTATGGGGAGACTGACCCACTGGGGTGGGAGTTGTAGTTCACCCTGCATTCAAAAACCACTATATATATATATATATATATCCAAAAGCACTATCTATCTATCTATCTATCTATCTATCTACATACATATACATCTGAGGGGCCTATGGGGAGACTGACCCACTGGGGTGGGAGTTGTAGTTCACCCTGCATTCAAAAACCACTATATATATACATACACAAAAGCACTATCTATCTATCTATATACATACATACATATATACATTTTCGCACATTTCTATTCAAAATCTGGGCCTTGGAGGTCTCCTCAGCCACAGCCCGAGAGGACCAGGCTCGCTTTTGAACGCTAGGCCCCGCCCCGCTCCGGCTGAGGAAAAAGCCGCCTCAGAACTGCGCGGTGACGTCACGTCCCGGCTGCGCGCAAAGCGAACGAGCCAATGAGGATCCGCGGGGGGAGGAGCGTGGTGACGCAAAAGGGCCTAGCAACAGGCGCGGCGCCGGCTGGCCAATAGGAAAAAAGCGCTCGCGCCGGCGTCGGCCAATCAGGAGTCGGGAAGGGGGCGTCTCTTTGGCCGACAAGATGGCGGTGGCGGCGTTTTCTGAGGCGGAGGCGGCGCCGTCGTCGTCGCCCAGGCAGGCCTCTCCCCGCGCCTGAGAGCGCGGCCCCGGCGGAGAGATGAGCGCGGAGCCCGGGAGGTGAGGTCTGGATGCTTTCCCCCACCTTGGCTTTCCTCCCTCGAGGAAGGGAAGGCCGCGCGAAGGGGGAGGGGAGGCGCCCTCAACGCTTTCCCCTCACGCGCCCCGCTCGTGCGCATGCGCGGAGCCCCAGCGCCCCCTTGCGGCCGCCGCCCGTTGCCTCCCTCTCTCCCCTTGCCGCTGCGGAGGGGGGCGCCGGGAAGAGCCGGGGGGCGTGGCCACCGCAAAGGGGCGGGGCCGGCTCTTCCTCCAACCTCCCCCCCCCACAAACACACACACCTTTCCTTAAGGTGAGGAAAACTCTTCCTCTGGGAGGATGTTATTAGGGAAACAGGGCGGTATATATATATATATAAGTTAGAATAATAATGTTGGAGTCACTGGGTTGCTGTAAGTTTTTTGGGCTATGTGGCCATATTCCAGCAGCATTCTCTTCTGACCTTTCACCTGCATCTATGGCAGGCATCTTCAGCAGTTGTGCGGTCTGTTGGGAAGTAGGAATATGAGGTTTATATATTTGTGGAATGATGTTCAAGGTGGGAGAAAGAACTCTTCTCTGTTGGAGGCAAAGTGTGAATGTTGCCATTGGCCACCTTGAATAGCACTGAATGGCCTTGCAGCTGCAAAGACTGGCTGCTTCCTGCTTGGAGGCCTTCTTTGTTGGGATGTGTTAGCTGATTGTTTCCTGTCTGGAGTTCCCCTGTTTTTTTGTTTGGAATCCTCCCAACAGAATTCTCCCAGGCAGGAACCAGGCTTTGAAGTTGCAAAGTCTTTACATGCTAATAATAATATTTATTTATTTATTTATTTGTCGTGTCAGAGCAACCAGTCAATTATATTACATTTCTAACAGAACAAAGCAAACAAACAGAGAAAATACAAAACTTGTGAGTTTGGTAGTTGATTAAATGTCCTTTGACCAGTATCTGGCCACTTGGAGTGCTTCTGGTGTTGCTGCAAGAAGGTCCTCCATTGTGCATGTGGCAGGGCTCAGGTTGCATTGCAGCAGGTGGTCAGTGGTTTGCTCTTCTCCACACTCGCATGTCGTGGATTCCACTTTGTGGCTCCATTTCTTGAGGTTGGCTCTGCATCTCGTGGTGCCAGAGCGCAGTCTGTTCAGTGCCTTCCAAGTCGCCCAGTCTTCTGTGTGCCCAGGGGGAAGTCTCTCATTTGGTATCAGCCATTGGTTGAGGTTCTGGGTTTGAGCCTGCCACTTTTGGACTCTCGCTTGCTGAGGTGTTCCAGCGAGTGTCTCTGTAGATCTAAGAAAACTAAGTTTTTTGGGCTGTGTGGCCATATTCCAGAAGCATTCTCTTTTGACGTTTCGCCTGCATCTATGGCAGGCATGTTCAGGAGTTGTGAGGTCTGTTGGGAAGTAGGAATATGAGGTTTATATATTTGTGAGAGAAAGAACTCTTCTCTGTTGAAGGCAAAGTGTGATTGTTGCCATTGGCCACCTTGACTAGCATTGAATGGCCTTGCAGCTGCAAAGACTGGCTGCTTCCTGCTTGGAGGCCTCGTTTGTTGGGATGTGTTAATAATAATAATAATAATAATAATAATAATAATAATAAACCTTTATTTATACCCCACTACCATCTCCTGCAGGAGTCGGTTTGGCTTACAAGAGGCCAAGCCCAAATACATCAAAAACAAGAAATACAACAACAACAATACAGCAAAAATAACTCATAGTAAAGCAAAACAATAACAAAATCACCGCGCATTTAGAAAGCTGTGGCAGGGCCAAATGTAATGGTTAAATTTTTAAAAAAATGCTGGGCATGTCCAGGTTAAGTAGGATGGATATTTTAGGGATAAGTGGGTGTACAGACAATTCTAACTCTCTCATAAAGTGCATTTTGGACAAATTGCTTGGGATACCTTAATCTGGGAATGCACACTGGAACATCCAAGCTCCTTCTAAAGACTGCCAATGTTGGGGCCTGCCTGATGTTCATGGAAGGGAGTTCCAGAGTCGTGGGGCCACCACCGAGAAGGCCCTGTACCTCGTTCCCACCAATCGCGCTTGCGATGCAGGTGGGATCGTGAGCAGGGCCTCTCCAGATGAAAGAAGAGATCGTGTGGGTTCGTACACAGAGATGCGGTCACGCAGGTAGGCGGGTCCCAAACCATTTAGGGCTTTGTAGGTAAGAACCTGCATCTTGAATTGGGATGGGAAAGTGAACGGCCGCCAGTGGAGTTCCTTGAACAGGAGGGTTGACCTCTCCCTGTAAGGAGCACCAGTTAACAATCTGGCTGCCGCCCGTTGAACCAACTGGAATTTCCGGGCCGTTTTCAAGGGCAGCCCCACGTAGAGTGCATTACAGTAGTCCAATCTGGAGGTGACTAAGGCATGGACCACCCTGGCCAGATCCGCCTTCACGAGGTACGGTCGCAGTTGGCGCACGAGTCTTAATTGTGCAAAGGCCCTCCCGGCCACCACCGCCTGAGATTCAAGCCTAAGTGATGAGTCCAGGAGGACCCCCAAACTGCGGACCTGTGACTTCAGGGGGAGTGTAACCCCGTCCAGCACAGGTTGCCACCCTATACCCCGATCCGGTTTACGATCGACCAGGAGGACCTCTGTCTTGTCAGGATTAATCTTCAGCTTGTTCATCCTCATCCAGACAGCCACAGCGGTCAGGCACTCGTCCAGCACCTGAGGGGCTTCCTTGGAGTTAGGTGGAAAAGAGTAGTAGAGTTGCGTGTCATCTGCATAGAGATGGCACCCAACTCCCAAACTCCAGATGACCTCGCCCAGCGGTTTCATGTAGATGTTAAAAAGCATGGGAGACAGAATGGAACCTTGCGGGACCCCACAGGTCAAAGGCCAGGGGTCTGAGTAGGAGTCTCCCAGCTTCACCATCTGGGATCGACCCTCTAGGAAGGACCGGAGCCACGACAGAACTGTGCCTCCAAGACCCATCCTGGAGAGTCGTCCCAGAAGGATTCCATAGCTGGCCTTGATCGTTTCCTGTGTAGAGTACCCTGTTTTCTTTGTTCAGAATCCTCCCAGCAAAGAATTCTCCCAGGCAGGAACCAGGCTTTGAAGTTGCAAAGTCTTTACATGCTAATCATTGTGGCCAATTGCAACGTACATGCTTTCCTCAATAATAATAATAATAATAATAATAATAAAACTTTATTTATATCCCGCCACCATCTTGGGGTGGCTTATATGAGGCCAAGCCCAACAACGCATCAATAAAACAACAACAAGGCAGCAAGCAAATAAAACAGTACAATTAATAAAACTCACATATAAGCAATAACACACAAATATTTAAAACCTTATGTCCGGGCCAGATATAATAAATTAAAATTTTAAAATAAACACTAGGTTTGAACAGAGGTACGATGTATCTAAACAGGAGGGTTTTAAGGATAATGTAGGGAGATCAACCCAACGGGTAGTTAAGGTGCTTCTGAGGACATTTTGCAGGGAATTAGTCAGATGTTTTGATGTTTTACTGTTATTGCTTTAATGTTTATTGGTTTGCTTTATGAGTTTTATTGTTGTATTTGTTGTGCTGTTGTTTTACTGAGGGCCTTGGCCTTGGTAAGCCGCACTGAGTCCTTCGGGAGATGTTAGGAGGGTACAAATAAAGTTAATAATAATAATAATAGTAATAAAACTTTATTTATATACCGCTCTATGTCCCCGAGGGGGATTCAGGGTGGTTTCCAAGCAACATCACCAAAACATACAGAGTAAACAGCACAACATAAAATTAACAAAACAACATAAGCATAAAATTATCAAAATAAGGTACATGTAGGGGTTTCCCTCTTAACATTAAGTCCAGTCATGTCCGATTCTGGGGTGTGGTGCTCATCTCCATTTCTAAGCCGAAGAGCCGGCGTTGTCCATAGACACCTCATGCTGTTGGGCCCAGGTCATGTGGCCGGCATGACTTCCCACCTATTGATCTCACATTTGCATGTTTTCGAACTGCTAGGTTGGCAGGACCTGGGCCCAACAGCAGAAGCTCACACTGCTTCCCGGATTCAAACCTGCGACCTTTCGGTCAACAAGCTCAGCAGCTCAGCGCTTTAACCCACGACGCCCCCGGGGGCTCCTATCACAATAGCACATATATATTAAAAAATAATCCTGCCTGTTCAGAGCAAATAAAAGGCCGGCCAAGGCTAGTGCAAACTCAAAATATGAGGGGATTGAGAATTAAGTACAGTGCTATAGTAGGCTAACAGCAATAGCGGGTACGGTTCTGTGGCTGATCAATTCCAGGACCTATTAGAGGGATAGAGAAAGACTGTTCTTCCTCTCAGCCTGGACATCATTCCACAGGTATATAAACCACTTGCCTAGTTTCCAACAGACCTCACAACCTCAGAGGATGCTTGCCATAGATGCAGGCGAAATGTTAGGAGAGAATGCTTCTGGGATATGGCCGTACAGCTCGAAAAACTGACTGCAACTGATTAATAAGTTATTTATATGCTGCCCTATCTTCCCGAAGGGACTCTGACAAAAGTAACAAAGTGGAAAATATTCACTGCCAAAACAAACAAACAAACAACAATAAATCAGCTGGAGCCATAGCTGCCTCAAGAAGGGCAATGCCATTGTTTTTTCTCCGTACGGAGACTCAAAGTGGCTATGTGTATATTAATATTAGAATGCATTATTATTGTTATTTTATAGTATTATGTTCATTTATATCTCACTTCTCCATACGGAGATTCAAAGTGGCTATGTATCTCTTATTACTATTAAAATGTATACTAATAATAATTATTATTTTATGTTATTATTGTTTGTTTATATCCTGCTTTTTCTCCATACGGAGACTCAAAGTGGCTATTTATCTATTATTAGTATAATAATAACTATTATTATGATGTATTGTCGAAGGCTTTCATGGCCGGAATCACTGGGTTGTTGTAGGTTTTCCGGGCTGTATGGCCATGTTCTGGAGGCATTTTCTCTGACGTCTCGCCTGCATCTGTGGCAAGCATCCTCAGAGGTAGTGAGC